AACATCAATACATCGCAAGCGATTACTATATATGAACATTTTAAATTAAAACATTCTTATGGTACACTTATATGTAACAGATGTCGAAGTGATTTAGGTCCGTTTATCAATAATGAAAAACAAGAATATAATGAAGCACGGTTTAAATGGATATTAGATATAGAGAACTTTGTAATATCAGAAAACAGGTTCGAGTTACAAAATCTTACACTAATCTAACCGAACAATCAAAACGAAATTTTTTATCAACAACAAGAATAATAATTAAATCAATAGTAGGATTTGTAGCTCTCAATGATACCAATATTGTTATTAATGAATTGTTTAATATTGATGATGATAAACGCAACATCATCATCATCATCGGTCGGCTGCGAACAATCGTGGTTTGCAGGCGACAACAATCTCGGACCAGTTCTCTCTATTCGCGGTAGCCTTTCTAATCTCGTCGACCGATGGTGGTGTATCGTTGTTAATTAGCCTCGCAATGTAATCGGAAACGCAACATCATATTAGATAATAAATTTTTATCTGTTATGACTGGTATTGCTGAAACATATAATAATGCAACAGAATGGTCTACACGTCGACAAATATTATCAATCGTTGCACCCAAAATAAGTTATAAATTAATTTAAGGATTTATCCCTGGTTTGACACTATAAAATTTCGGCAGCACGATTGCATGCAGCACAGTTCCGTACAGGTGCTGTGGTTGAGCGTACATCCATAACAATACAAAAATTTGAACCTGAGCAAATAAATCACTTTGTTGATTTCATCATCAGTCCTCACATTTGCAGTGATATGCCATTTGGTGAAAGGATCTTAAAGTTATCCAATGGCTCAGAGTTATATGTACCTGAAACAATACGTAACGTACAAGAAAACAAAATATCGAAGAAAGCAAAGAAGAAGAAAATGAACTTGATGATCAAAGTAATAATGAATCAAACGTTTCGCACCGATTTGAAAGCACGATTTTTGTGTCAACAAACGATTTTTGATCTCAAATCGCTTTTTGGACGGATGTCGATACAATTGTTCCGCGAAAACAGTTCGATCTTTCATCTCCAAAGCTAATCGATGAAATTCATTTGGGCAATTCCTTATTGAATCGGTTCCGCGATCCATTGATCGATGAACTAAACGTTCGGAAAAAGGACGTCACCACGATCAAGCTATTCCTGCGATTCAAGGATGTTTTCTCCACGTACCATTCATTGATCTATGACAGACGATTCACTTGCTCAAGCCATGTGGTATCTTATCATGACGACAATCGGCAGATTCAACATGGACGCGTAGTTCTCTTCTACTATTGTGATAACGTCAACTATTCATTCATCCAGAAGTACCACGCGGCACCAATCAAAGTTTCTAGTTTCCTAGATATTCCGGAAGAATGGAAAGAAAAGATGGACTCATTCTGCCCTGTGTGCCAAATCGTCGATCAGTTTACAATCACCCGGACGACCGATATCGTCAGTAAATGTATCTCGATACCTTTCCAACAGTACCAATGCATTACTGACAGACGAGTTCAGTATGAGCACGATTGAAATTATCTTACATTTCTTCGTTCTTGTTCTCATGCAATGTTTCCTATTAATTCAAATGACGAAGTTTTCCCCTCTTTACTGTCATCAAGTTCGATCAATCTTGATCGGCCATCAATATTTTCTTGTTCCTACGAATCTCTCTGTCTCTTCTAGATGGTTTCGACAACGAACGAATATGAACGATGTTACCTTACTCAAAGATCTTTAAAGGAGAAGAGAATCTATTCGTATGTGGCTTACATCGACGAACCGTCCAAGTACAGCATCATCGAATCGAAGCCTTTAGCGAACGTCGATGAAAGAGGTTACGGTGTGATTAAAGAATTCGGCAAGTCCTGCGCTATCCATGTGGAACAGACAGGTATTGTCTTTACGAGAAGCTTCTCGACTTTTTGTTTCATTCTAATCGTTCCGTCTGATTTAGGCACACAAGAATCGATGGAGAAATATGGTTCATTGCTGGAGAAGGCGATGCAATCTTAAATGCACGACGGAGTTCCATCTGATTGTGATGACTGGCATACGAAGCTAAAGAAACAGAAAGATCTACGTCATGGATTAACCACTTCGCATTCAACATCACATTCATCGATTAGCTTCGATCATTCATGTAAGTCGTCGTTGGTTATCTGAATTGTTCAACGTGGATCCCTTTTTCTAGTGGCTCGATGGCCAAAACGATTCGGTTTGTGTAGCACACCACTCGGTGAGCATCGTTTCCGTACAGAGAAAATCGACTTTTTTGTGAACAAATGATGCACCCCCGACTGGAAACGGTCGCTCTTCGCATACATCCTCATCTTCTCGTGTGTCGAAACGTAACCGGTCGTGCAGCGACGTTGAGTCGCCCATCCTCCGACCAAGTAATATATTCTCTGCTTTCTAAATGATTCGTCTGCTGTCTTTCGTAGAGAGAGTCAATGTTCGGAGTGAACGTCCTGATTCAAACGATCTGGACGAGGATTGGCACAGTGACGTAATGTCATCACAAGACGAAACCGACTCAGAAGAAAGTCCATCGGTCGATCTTGTTCCGCAATCCACGAAAACTATCACGGTGAAGAAACTGTCAGTGAAATCACACAAGCCATTGCCAGCCGCTAAGCGCTTGCGGTTAACTGCTGATGAGGATGAACCAACTAATGACACACAACTCGATCCTCAACAGCTGTTGTATTATCTCAAGCAAACGAATTCTATTGTTTCATCATTGAAGAAACAACAAGAACAAACTGCAGTCTCTTTCGATCGTTCAGAGAAATTCTTGAAGATCCTGTGCTCAAACCAAAAGAAGATCGCAAAGACTATGATCAAGCGGAGGGTAAGTGGCAAAGGACAATGGAGTGCGTCTATTTCATTGCACCTATGTCTCTCTTCAGATACCTATCAACCTCGCACAGGACGAATCAGCCTCTGAAATGAACGATCAAGCCACGGTCGATGCTGATTCGGTATGCGATGGAGGAAGAAAATTAATACGAGCATCACGAAAAGGGCACGGTTCTATTTCCCAGTGACCATTGTCGCACCACCAGTTCTAGCCTTGGATCTCATGACAAACGCTAGCATTATCAGTATTTGCTTTGCTTTTTCTTAGGTGAACTTACAACGGGCAGATGGTGTTGTGATCGAATTACTGAAAGTATACGGAAACAAGCAAAATACCATCAAGTACGCATTGAAGCTAATCGATGCAATTTTCATCCACAAACAAGATTTTCAAAATATCAATGTCAAGAAAGCCGACGAAGATCCACACATCAAGGCGATTCGAAGTATCAGTCATTCAGTTCTGTGTCTTCGATCATCGCTATCGTTTTGATTGTTTCAGATGCAGTCAAATACAAATTCTATTTCTCAGATGGCGACATGTCGATTATCTGGCCCCCAATCCATGATTCTATTTTGAGTAAACGACGAAACCAGCAGAAGAAATCGAAATCACCTGCCACTAGTGGCAAAGCATCGTAGATATTTTAACAGTCGACTGTCAAATCTATGTCATGTCTTTAGATATTAGCAACAAGTCGGTCATTAACGTCGAAGTGTCGGCTCTCAACGATGAAGTATAACCATATTCAACATTCTGATCATTGAACGGATACTCAATGGCAGCCAGCGGTTGCCAACCACCTGTCATGTTTACTGGAACCATGCTGCCTATGCTGGTCCCATTACACACAATTGGATCATTCTCTTACCGGGTGTTCTTATTCTTTTCTCATGAAAGCAACTAAATTTTGTAGCTATCCGCCACATTTCTCTTTCTACCGATTGTAAATCTTCTTTCTTCCATTTTTATTCATAAAACGATGTTTTTTGTATTCGTTGAACTATTCCTCAATAAATTGAGCGATCATTCTGGATCTACGTGACTTTCTACGAGAGAAAATCCCGGTTGTAACCCGGAGTTCAGAATAATGCAGTGATTCAAATTATTGTCGATCTTATCGCGATTTTGAAGAACAAATCATCGGAAAATTGTGAAAAATCGCCACTTCCGACGATTAAATCGCGATATAATCTCACAATTAATCGGGCTAACAAATCGTCGATATTGTGGCGATTCAGACGACATGAGTCTACACGATCTTATCATCGCTGTTCTTGCCCCATCATCTTTTTAGCTTCCTCGAGAAGATTGGACCAACCTAATTTGGCCGAGATCCTGTATCCTAAATATCGATACGATTTGCTCGAATTTTGGTCCCCCAATGGCTCTAGCGCTCCACATCACTTTCGTCTTCTCATAACTGATCGGCTGACATGCAAGCACTGTATAGAACTTGAGATTGTCAAAAAGATCCTTCAATCTGTTCTCCAGTTACAAACACTGACTCGCGTAGCGTGACCCTGGCATTCCCCCACGACACAGGCTAAATCATTCACAAAAAAATGTGCTAGAGCGTTTCCCATGAATGTCCACATGTCCGAGTGATAGGTTCTAAAAATAGCTGGCGTCAAGCAGGACCCTTGCGGCCCTCCTCTGCTGATCCGGAATTGTCTCGATCTCTTTCCATTCAGCTCGATAAAGCCGACCCTCCCTTTTAGCCAGCATTCTATCCATTTGACGTACTGGTCGGGGATTCCCAATCTCCGCAACTTGCCTAAAGGCAGCCTTCCCATTATAACTGGTCGAAGGCCTGCCTAAAACCAATGAACACTGTGGCCACCGGTGCACTTGAGCACATCAGCAAGGATATCTGCTCTAGCAAGAGAAGTACTCTAGATTGGAGTCTCATGTTCGAACGCAAACCTGACTGGGTATCCGACAGAATACCCCATCTCTCCACGACTGACATGAATCTGCGCAGAAAGATTTTCTCCCCTACTTTGGAAAAAACATCAAGGAGGGAGATCGATCGAGTATCCCTCGGCGAACAAATAGTTTCTTTTTTGGGGACCAACTTCATCTTTACTTGCTTCCAGTACATTGGGAAATAATTGTTCGTAATTGATTCATTGAAAATTCGACTCAATCTACTCCAGTACTGGTTGGAAAGATAGAGGAACATGCACATGGAAATGCCATGTGCATCACACGATTGCTTCTTCTTCGTCCTTCTCACCACATTCCATATCTCTGGGAGGGGCGTCGGTGGGATGACCTCTTCTTTATTCTCCCATGTCATCTCCGGTCCATCCACATACGGATGGGGTCGATATACTTCTTGTTCGTCGAAGAGATTTTCATAGTGTTTAGCTGCTGCCTCTACCATCTCATCCTCATGTTTCATGATTCTTTCATCCTCAGTTATCAGGCCCACCAAGGGTGCTGATTGCTTAAACTTTCTATTTGCGTTGGAACAGACGCTCGTCGAGGCGGAAGAGGGAGAGTTTCTGTTTCTCAGTGATTCCTCAAGGCTCCATTGGCGAAAGCGCCACAGTTCTTTCCGATTTTCACGCCGCATCTCGCTCACTTTTTGTCTCAGCTTAGCGTCGCCCTTCCTCTTGGCTTGGAAAGACAACGCTCTAACTAGTGAGATTTTCGCTCGGAGATCCCTTGGAATAGCTGCTCTGTATTTTTTCAGCTCGAAGTACGTGGAGAAACGTATCTCCAGCGCATTGAGGAACGAAACGAAGTTGAAGTAGGTATTTTCGTGATCGTTCAGTTCGAATTGAGCCTGCCAATAGTCTCCTGCCATAGCCAGAAAGTAATGGAAGACTTTCCAATGTGTTTTACTGCCCAACGAATCCTCCATCACTTCATGCGAGAGTACCACATACACACCGGTTCATGGTCACTAGTCGTGTTTGCCACTGTCGTCGAGATAGAGAGTTCAATATTCCTTGCAAAGCCGTAGAGGCAACGAAAGTCATCAATGGACGTCACTACGCTACCATTGGTACAAGTTTCTTCGCGATGTGCGTTATCAAGGAGTTTCTGGAAGATCAAAGCGATCTAGATCAACCGTGCATCAACCATCTAAAGAAACTCCTCTTGACTCAATTACGGAAATATTTCGAACATGATACTGAGCAGCTTGAGCTGATCAAAGTGAGCATCTTACTATAGCTCGTTCTCTTTCATCGATGTTCTTTTAGCGACACGCTTACTTCGATCCTCTTGCCTTTGGAGCTATTAATCGAAATGATCGATCGATAATCGAGCGAGATATCAAGCAAATGCACAAAGATGCATCTCAGTCTGCGGCAATCTCCAGTGCTTCATCCTCGCCGTCATTCACCGGGAACCCCACGATGGCCGCTTCTGTTCGAAAACAGACAGGAAATTCGATTGCTGCTTTACTCGATTCCGTCGGAAAACGGGCCCCAGGAGTGCCAAAACATGTTTCTAAAGGACAAGGTGAACGATGTCTCGGACTAGAGAAACTGGCCTTTATCGAGTGGTCCTGATGAAAACTCTTTTACAAACGAGTATCAAATTCGTCCGCGTAGAGTAACCTCGTATCACGCGTGTACATATTTCTGAATAATTGATTTTGTGAACAGTATATGTGAACTTTCTTCTACCTATCTTTCTCACCGCGATGTGTCTTTATTCGTCAACCATTTCTGTATATCATGCACTTGTTTTCATTTTGAATGCTGCCGCCTCTCGATATATTGAATTCGTAAATATGTAAGGAAGAAAGAGAAACGAAAATCTAATAATCACGCGGACCAACCAATAGATATGTAGCATTTTGATTTCCCCAGAAATGCCATGCAAACAAGAGAGTTCCTGTTTCATCATCGATGAAAAGATTTGCAAAACCAAAGATGGCTCTACGATAGCTTACCGAGGATCTTTTTCTAGCAGAAAACAAGCTAGTATTAAAACTGATCATTTCAACAGGAGAAATACTCCAAACGATGACTGAAGGTATTACTGGATTGATCAAGATTACACAAACCGTTTCAATAACGAAGGCAATCGTGGCTGACCGAGACGGAGATCGACCTAGATCGAGACTTACCGAGACCGGGACTGAGCGAGACCGAGACTGGGCGAGATCAAGACTGGCCGAGACCGAGTCTTACCGTGGCCGAGACTGATCGAGATGCGACCGATACCGAGATTCTCGGTCTCGGTACATGCCTAACCAGGTTTCTATCACAGTTGCAAGAAGTTTCTGCTTCCGAGCATTGCCAGCATGGACTTTCGAATGGACTTTCAGTAGTACTGTTTTGCTCAGTATTTTGTCCTCTTCAGAAAAATAAAAATAAGAACAGCATTCAGATTGGGGACGATATCGCAGCTTCCTTGGAAGAATAATAGCGAAGAGTCCAGTTTAGGTCGTCTGTTGAATCGGATGTGCTCTCGATGCACGAGTGGCTCTGCCGAGGGCGAAAATAAAATCAGTATATGCGATCACTATCTCAGTGGTCTATTCTCAATAGGGATCCGGTGAAAGTTTTCCTTCTTTTATTTCTGTTCTAGATTCATTCTCTTTTCAGATTGCAGATTGTATTTCTCCACCGTTAAATTCATTGGCGCCTAGTCGGATTTGGAGCTCAGTTTAGAGCTAGATGCTTCGTGCCGTGATAGTAATAGCTCTGTCCCACACCCACCCTCACCTCTCACCCTCAAGATCAAAGAGTAAGCAAAGGTTTATTTTTTGAGGTGTCAGTCTATTGTCAAAGGCATTGTTACACTTGCTTAAATGATGCAAACAGTTGATTGTTCTGATATTCTTCCCACCGATCGTCTCCTTTGTTAACAAAATAATAACCATTTCGATGAATAATGAATAACCATTTCGATGGAAATTTTGAATAGCCACTGATATTCACACGATATGTATTATCATCTGGTGATGTCTTGATTTCAAATGTATAATTACCGAATTGCGATGCGACACTCCTGTCAAGGGATGTACTGGAAAATGTCGGCCACAAGAACGTTGTACCTTCTTTATATTCCTCCTGAACATAGCTTGGTTGGAGTTTAAGATTGCGATAAGCTGTGATTTCGTTTGGTTGATGATTGTGTTTAATGGCCATTCGCAGATTGTAGATATAGACAACATGTTCTCTCAGAATCTTTTCATCGTCGTTCAGAAGAGCCTTGTTAATTGTTTTATAAAGTGGTACAGCACCTTCTAACGGCCACTGATGAAAGACACTTGATTCGTCCAGCTTTTCAGGCACATTTATTTGGTGAATTTCGCGATACGATGGGCGACGAAAAGACGGCAAGAGAAGAAAAGATGTTGGAGCATCAAATCTGTCTGTAGGATGGTGGCGTTGATTCGACATTTTCGTTTCGTATCTCGAGATCAACTACATCAATATTTTAGAAAGCATCTTATTAGACTCATTTACAACTTCAAAGGGGCTAAGTCAAACTGTGAGAGGTATAACTAGGGCGAAATCAAAGACCTGTTTAGACGTACTGAAATTTTAAACGAGCATTTCGCTTCTGCAGAGGTGCAGAACCTTACACAAAATCCAAAAATTTCCACAACCGAAAAATTTTTTCCCAAAAATTTCCACAAGCCATTTTTTCTTCAAATCACATATGAGCTTTATTTGACGAATAAAAAGAGTTC